TAGTAAAGAACTTGCAAAACACACTGCTGAACATGGAAGATACAGCGCTAAGCAAATGCATTCAGTTACTAAAGGACAAATATGGTCCAAGTCCACTACCATAAAATGCTGAGGAAAAGCTTACATACAGAAGCACAAAAAGAAACTTTTGTCTGTTTGTTTAATTACCAGGGGTGGGTGGGGAAGAAAAGTGGAAGACAAACCATTAAATAGGTGATAAATCTATATGAGGATGGGTGAAGGGGAAAAACAATATACAATAAACGGACAAAGAATTCAAAGATACAGAGAAGTATAGAAAGGCTTCAGTCAGCAAAGGCAAGCACTCTTAGATACACAAAACAGAATGGAAATAAAAGCAATCAATGCTCCCTCATATCAATAGTCAACTGATGCTGTGTAGTACGTTGTCAAGTTATTCTTTTACATCTTATTAATGCTTATTTGTATTTTCTTAAAAAATACATACTCAATCTGGAGAAACAGGACAATGGTGGGCATAGTTCAATGTTGATTAATTTTGTATAACATAACGTATGGGAATTCAGGAGTGGCATCTACTTCCTAAATAACAACATGCCTCTGGAAACTCTATGAACTTTGATAAATGTTGATCATTGTAGAGGCGCTTCAGAGCTTTTTTGGTTGCTAAGAGTCATGCTCAACTCGACTGCAATCAACAACAACAGTAACAATGAATGGGAATAATTGCATGAAACCCAATGTGAATGAAGAACACTATGAAACACAGTGTATACAAACTTTGTAAGCAAATCAATATAAAATAGAAATATAAATAATATTAATATAAATATAAATATAAAATAAAAATGAATCAGGGTGAAGTCTCTCTAAGGGAGGAGTGATAGGGAATGGCAAGGGACACACTGACAAAGGAAATTAATCAGAACTGGCTTTGACAAGCACTGTGGCAATTGGACAATTAAAACAGACATGGGGGGGGGCGGGAAAGAAGAATGAATTGGGGACGAGGGTGGAGAAAACAGTGCAACAGTGAATGAATGAAAGCCCAAAATCTCTGTAAATGTTCATTAAAACTAATAAAATTTAATAAAAAAAATAAAATAAAATAAAAATTCAAAAGGAAAGAAATTCCTATTTACTATATAATAGGAGAAAATGATACAATACCTTGAAAATCTACTGGCTTTAATTACTATGGTTATTAGAAGAACTTAAATTCATATATGTTGTCCTTTATCCTCATTTCTCTGGAAGGCTTTATTGATTTACTGTATTTCAAACAAATTCTTTCCTAAGCATTGTTATTTGACCACCTATTCACTTTCAGGAAAAAAAAAATACATGAAGTCATAGCCCCTGAGCTGTTTTCTAATACGGTGTGCTGTTTGCATTGGGCTGGACCCTCCAAGACTCAAAATTCCTGTCTAGCTTTCTCACTTATTAGTAGTGTGACCTTGGAAAAGTCGTGGAAGCTCCTGATGGCTCATAGCTCTCACAGAAAATGGAAATAATAATCACGATAAGCTGAAAACTATCCAACATGTCTACCTTATGAGACTCTGAGGAAAAGGTGAAACAATGATCCTGGAGAAGTTTCTCTACCACTGGAGCATCATAGAGGGGGAGATTGCTCTTTTGTTCTAATACACTTCTCTTAGTCATTCACTACACAGTTCTCGTGTTTTCAGGAATGTCACAAAGTCTGAGACTTTCAGCGCAAATGCATCTCACAATGCAGGCAGGCCAGCGCTTCGTCTGCCCAAACAGCACTAGTCCTGATATTAATAGTGCAAGATCCAGTTAAATGCTCAAGAGTCATCCAAGTTCTACTTGCCTGCTGAGAAGCTGGGGAGGTAGAACGGAGCAAGATGAAATGACATAAAAGGCTTGTGAGTATCAAGATGGCTTTCCCTCTTATATTTCTAAAGCTGCTGAATGCTTATGCAGTTTAGGCAAATACAATACTGATTATTTACATGGCACAATGGAAGCAAACACTCACAGAGCAAGGCACTGGATGCTTTTACTCAGCATGATAGAAGCCATTATCTCATGTTTTCTATGGAAAACAGTCTCAGCCGAGAAATTTGGTAACTCAGTAGGCTATTAATAGGATGTGGAATGTGATTACTTCTTTTGGCTTACTTCAAATATGTAATTACTTTTAGGAGCAAGTAGAAAGAAACTCTATTAAATGATAATTATAGGACTGTATTTGCTTTCAGGTTCTGTAATAGCTCTAAACATGGGGGTTTTCATGAACTGTTTGCCATAGTTAATAAAGTCATTTTTCTTAAAAAGTAGCCGTTCCCTGCGAAAGTGGGAGCTCGGCGGTGGGATCTGTCTTTTACAGGGGAGGGCAAGGGAGATGGGTTGTGCACTATGTTGGTTTCCCCACTGGACTTTAATCTCCTGGAAGACATTCGAGGCACTCCCAAAGGAGTGTGGCAAAGTACAATATTACCCAACTCCCAAAAGAACGGTATCTCTTCATCTGATATTTTCAGCATTTAAGAGCAATTAAGTATTGTCACACTTAAGGGAAGCCACGAGACAAGGCAGGTGATGGAGGCAGGAGAGGAGTGGCCAATGTTTGCAGGGAGTGTAACACGACAAACAGGACATATCTAGGAATATACCCAAGAATCAAACACAGCGTAATGAGAAGAACATATATGCAACTTTGCCCAATTCACCTCAGTCAACATTTATTGAATTTCTAGGATATGTCAGGTTGCTTTTTAGTTTGGTTTTTTTTCTTTCTTTATTCCCCCCTGATTTTGGGAGATGTGCATTGACAAAAGGAAATTCCTGTACCATATATTAGTCTGACTATATGTAAGTCTAGGGGAAACCAGGCATCTTCCTTGATGTAAATGTTTTTCCTTAAGGCATTTGAGGTGTTCCCCTGTACATAGTAATGCAAATCCCCTGGGACAGGAAAACTCTAGCTATAATTTTAAATTTTATAGAATACTATATAAAAAATTGGGAGAGACTAGAAAGCATTTCGCTGAGTGAAATACCATAGTCACATAACAACAAAAATCGCATAAGGTAACTATTGCGGAAATGGGGATAATTGACTATGATGTGTATACATATTCTAAAGGAGGGTGTTAGATATAAAAAAGAGAGTGACGGAGAGAAATAAAGAAATTGGTCCCCCCAAAATGAACAGGCCTTTTTTGTGAGGTCTGAGAGGGACACCAAGTGACCTGGCCGCAGAGCATATGGACAGGATCAAAATGGCGTGTGGGCAGCTTGAGGGGGGGGTTTCCTTTTTATAGGGGTCCTGAGGAGGACTGAGATGGCACTTCTTTGGTGTGTTAATTAAGTTAGGTTTTAGTTATTTTTTTAAATTTTTTAGTACTTTTTATTTTTTTAATGTGTGTACCGTCAAATCAGATCTGACTGATACAGAAGGAGATTGTCCCTCCTTCTTCAGCGGAGCATCTGGTGGATTTGAACCTCACATCTCTGGGATTGCAGTGCAACTTCTTGCCAGTAGGCCACCAGAGCTCGCCAGGTTTTAGTTATTTTTAATCAAGCTCAGACTCTTGTCAGGATCCATTGTCTGGTCTGGTCTTTGATATGACCAGTTTAGGGGTTAGGAAGTGATTACGCTTGGGGAGGGGGCAACTGGCATATTCTTCCTTCAGAGCGGCCATTGCTTGGAAAGGGGCATTATGCTTGAGGCTCAGCAAAAGAGGAAGATCTTCTGTGGGACGGGTTGAAACAGAGACGGCAGCAGTGAGCTCACGTGTGTCGGAGATGGTGCGGGTGCTACAGGATAGAACAGGGTTCAGTTCTGTTGTTCACACGATCAACATATGAGTTTTGTCTGAATTGATGGCACATGACAAAATCAACAGTCTGACAGCATATTCTGCAGGGTGTTGGTATAGCGCTAACTCAAAGGCAGGGCCTCTGCTGGTTTGAATCTACCAGTGGACAATTCCGCCTATACAACTTACAGTCTCTTGAAAATCCACAGGAGGGTGGGCTGGTCCTGACTTAATGGCACTGAGTTTGAGGTATCGGGTTTTTGTTGTTGTTGTTTATAATAATGAACTTGATGGGAGTTATAACAGCAATGGAAGCAACAAGGATACTTCTTAAGTATTAAGTGTTAAGACTCTCAACCTGTGAGTAACCCAGTATGGGACAGCACAGTGCTAATGAAAACTGTGGAGAACTAAGTTTTAATGCCATGTGAAATGACTGTCTTCTGATTTCACAGATCTGCCCTGTCTTTGCTTCACAGACACAGTTTACCAAGAGGTGAGCTGCAGAGCAAAAATGCTCTGGCTCAGAACCACAAAATTCATGCTTGTCCTCAGATCTGTCCCTAAATTTATCTCGGGACTTCATCATTCAGTCTAGCCCCATAGCACAACAACAGTTGCCTCTAATCCACTGCAAGTCTAGAACCTCTATGCCCAATTACGTGAGAAGTAGACCTATCATGAACGTGACAGTGCTGACAATTCACAAACAGTGTTTGGATTTGCGTCCTTCAGGCAATCTTTCTGCAGGCACCTTGGGGTACCCAGCTCTCTCCTCAACCACACTGCATTAAAACTGTGCTCAGAAGGAGAGCCAGCTGAAAGACTGCATTCCTTGCAAGGTTGAACTAATCTGTTTTAATGCTCGACTTGGTATCAATATTCATAAAGTCATGCTTTCCCCCAAGGGTTTATCAACCTCTTAAAAATAAAAAAAAAGATAAATGAAGTTGTTTGCATATTGACCCTGTAAGCTTCCCCTCTTGGTTTCCCCACTGCTTCATGAATATCAAAGCCAATAAAAAAGGAGAATAGAATTAGACACACTTATTCATATGCACCAAATGAGCCCATGTCTCAAAATAGAGGTAGCACCATTATTTCTTGTTTGTTCTTCAACAGGAAGGCATTAATAAGATTAGAAAAAAAATATGTATGTGCTATGATAGAATAGCCATTTGTTTTCCGTATCTACTTTTCTGAACGCATAGGAATCTGGGTACAAACCTCTGTTGTCTCTGACCGTGAAATTGGGATTGTGAATGATTTCCGGGGGGAGGCTGAAGATGAATCTTGGTCCATTGGCTGTGTCATCCTTGTCATCTGCACTAATTGTAACAATTGGCTGAAAGACAAAGGTGGACTATAAATAAATCATAAATCACGCTGACATTGACACTTCATTTATTAAAAAAAAAATCTGGCTGTCTAAAAAGCAAGTTTTCATTAGTGAACAGAGCTCTAGAACAAAATGAGGGCTTCCTGAAATATGGGAAGATAGCTGCACGTGATGCGCTCAGATGGAAACTGTTTGTAACTGCATCGCTCAAAGCCAAGGACAAGGGCATTACCTGGTTGGAAAGAGGCTTGGTCTGATCACTCTCGCAAATGAAGCCTTCATACGGGGCTGCAAACTTGGGAGCATTATCGTTGACATCAAGGACTCTAATGGCCACAGGGACTTTGGCTTCCTGATGTCGGTTGTCTAGAAGGAAAGGATTCAGACAGTCAATGCCAAGGAGAACTAGCTTCGTCCTTGGGAAGGACAAAGTTCCAGCTATCAATGTGAAGAGGACAGGGAAGGGCATGACTGATAAAAAAACAAAACAAAATAAAACAAAACAAAAAACCCCAAACAACAAAACTCCACTCACTACCATTGTGTTTGGAAGAGCAGAGCGTCAGCAAAAGAGGAAGAACCTCAAAGAGATGGATGGACATGATGACTCCACCCATGGACTGAAGAGATTATGAGGAAGACTGAGGACGACATAAGGTTTACATGTCTGAGTGTAGCTATGAGCTGACTCACGGGAATTAACAATAGCAAGAGTTGATCCCGACCCACAGTGATCCTAACAGGACAAAGCAGAACTGTCCCAGGGGAGTTTCTGTGGCTGTAATCTTCACAGAAGCTGGCGGCCTCATCCTTCTCTACCCCAGCCTGTAGTCTGAACTGCACGTCTTTAGATTAGCAGCAAAATGTGTTACCCACGACACCACCAGGGTACCTTGTTGGTACAAGAGCTGTCTAACATTTGAGATGAGCTATGTTAAGTGTGGTGACATGTCTCTAGTGATGTATGCAAATAGTTGATCAGGTCAGAACTCAACCAAGGACAAGGGCAGTGGTCAAATTCTCACTTTCCATGTAAGAGTCAAGTGTAATTCCTGGCCAATTCACCACGAGTGATCAAAAGCTGTTTGCCAGGGAGACTTCCCGAAGACTCAATGGTTCACACTGTGCCGGCAGGTCGCAACGAATCAAAGGATGACTCACCAGCAGCTACCAAGATCGAAACCACGTTTCCTTGTCTCTTGACTCAGGCTGAGGTTTAGTTGTAAAGACTCAGAGAGGAACCTGCTTTAGCTCAGAGTTCACAGCAGCAGTATTCAAGGCTGTATCAGAATCCTCTGGGAACAGGGGTACACATTCTCTGTCTCTGTCCAAGACTTACTAAAACAGAGGGTGTGGGCATGCGGCTGTAAATCTGCGTTCTGCAAGCCCTCCATGAGACACAATGTGCAGTCAGCCTCGAGCATCCCTGGTCTCTGAGGCAGGCGAAAGCTTCAAGCCTTGGTTCTAAGGACTCGGCTGCTCTGGGAGAAGTGAGCAACAAGTGATGGTGACAGGAGAGGGCAGCGTGACAGGTGAGGGTGTCAAAGTCCCAGGGGTTATTAGCTTTCTTCTCAAGCCTGTATTCTCTTCTGTCAAAGGATATGAAAACATCGCTATTTGTCTGCATGTCTTCCTAATTGGAAGGCCAAAAATAACTTCTTTTACCTGAGAAATGTTTACTAACTAGAAGGGGGGGAAAAATAAAACAAAACCTCCTCTCTTCAGCTTTCTGTCATTTTGCAGTACAACCTGTAAGAATGGGAACGTGACTGGACCACCTTGCTTGTCCAGGACTTGCAAGTTTCCAGTACTTTCCCATCCTTACGTTTAGTGGAAAGTATTTGCATTGTCCTTTTAACAGTGTGTTTCTGTCTTCCATGGTTTCCAGCTTCCACAGGTTTTACTATATCTGTTTTCTCTCTCTCTAATAGATCAAGTCAATTTTGATTCATATCAATCCTCTGCTGGGTTTCCAAGGCTCTAACTAATAAAGGGAGACAACCTATCCCTTTTTCCACTCCCGGAGGTGCTGGGGGATTCAAACTGTCACTGAAGCACCACCTTCGAGTTGGCAGCATAACCCCCAGGCCACAGCACCAGGCAGACTTCTCTCATGCTACCTGGTCCCTCCCACCTCTGGTCCCCAGAGCTCTTTATTATACAAAAGGGGAGAGAGGAGGGAGGAGCTCAGCTCTGGTGGCCTAGTGGCAAGAAGCTACACTGCAATTCCTAAAGCACGTGGTTTGAGGCCACCACCAGCTGCTCCCTGGGAGAAGGATGATCAATCTCCTCCTGTGCGATTGACTCCCTCTGAAAACCTGCTGGAGGGTCAGCTATGGGTCAGTGTCGACTGGATGGTGTACAACACATACAGGCAACATACATATATATAACATCTTCACAGTGTGACACATGCGAGCCTATTGCCACAGTCAATGTGTCAATCCACAACACACACACTCTATATGTGCATATATATGTTATGTATATATATATATAAACACACAGTTACACATATATTTTATCTATAATTTATCTGCTCATATGCTGGGCAGAGTGGAGGGACGGCGCAGGAGGGGAAGACCCTCTATGAGGTGGATTGATTCGGTGACTGGGGTAATGGGGATGGGTGTGTCAGAGGCAATGCGATTGGTACAGGATAGAGCAGGGTTTAGGGCTGTTGTACATAGGGTCGCTATGAGTCGCAAGCGACTCGATGGCACATAACAACAACAACAACAACAACATATATTGTTGTTGTGTACCACTAAGTTGGAACTGACTTAGAGTTGATTTTGTAGCAGGTTTTCAGAGGCAGCAAATTACAATGGAGGATACTATCTTTCTGCCACAAGCAGCTGCTGGATTCGAACTATGTTACTCTGTGTTGGCAACACAATTGCTTACCACTAAGCACCAGAGTTCCCTGGCAAAACATATAGTTACATGTACATAGTTACGTTGTTGTTATGAGCCATCGAGTCAGAACTGCTTCACAGCTGACCCTCGAGTGGCCATGCGGGAGTATAAATTACACAGAAGGAGATTGTCTATTTTGCTATCACAAAGCAGCTGGTGGAGTCAAACCATTTGCTTTTGGGTTGGCTTCTCAATTCCCTACTGCTGGGTCAGCAGAGTGCCCATATGGGAGGGGGCTGGAGGGGGAGAGAGAGAGAGAAACAAACAAACAAACAAAAAAACCAACCCAAACCAAACAAAACCCTATACTTATACTTGGACCAGTAAGCAGTCCTCAAACCTGAGTAAGGAAACACTGCATGGCTCAAAATCAGGAAAGGAGTACATCAGGGATGCTTCTTGTTTCCATACCTTTTCAAGCTATATGTGGAACAGATCATTTGGGAGGCTGGACTTTATGAGAAAAAATGTCGCATTGTAGATGACACAACTCTGCTCGCTGAAACTGAGGAGGATCTGAAGCATTTGCTGCAGAAGGTCTATCTATCTATCTATCTATCTATCCATCCATCATCCATCCACCCATCCATCCATCCATCCATCCATCCATCCATCCATCCATTTACCTACCTACCTATCTACCTACTGAAGGCATGTGGACATCTGTATTTAGTTTGGTGAAGCAGAATCCAAATCCTTAAAGGAATACTTACGGATTTCTGCTGCAAACACGGAGATGTTGAGCCAGGCAGTCTCTTCTCTATCGAGAGGTTTAGTAGTTTTAATAAAACCATCCTCTGGATTAATAGTGAAAAACCTGTCGAGGTCAGTATGACGATCGATTGAATACCTAAGCAGAATGCAAATGAGGCAATTAGACTGAGACGTTCGAAGCAGCTTAATACTTGAATATTTTCTCCACGCTGTATTTAAAGCAACTTTTCAATGAATCACTTGAGCTACTTTTTTTCCCCTTAAATCAAATTTACTTTTCAAACTTCTAACTGCGTCTTTCATAGAAGGCATTTTGCCACATTGGAGTTCTTTATTCAGCACAATGAATGAAAGTGCTGTTTTGCATATTTGATTGAGAAGTGTAATAACAGTTGCAAATTTCTCCGTATCTACTACAATCATCCAACCATCTGAATATTTATGAAGTTGCATTTGAGAAGTAGGTTTACCTTGCTCACAACTACTCCGAAAGTCACAAATGTTATCAAATCTTTGCCAAATTTTTGCATATAAAATGATAAATAGCTTCAAGTTTATCTAAATTTATCATCAAGGATCATTTATGGCCCTAAGAAATCAGTTTTCTTCTTATTGAGAGAGACATGTGAGCTAAATTGTGAGTGAGTACTAGGTAAGTAACTGTGGGTCTTGAGGTAACGTGGCTCTGAATTCTGGGGTGCAGTAAACACAACAAGTAGGTGACAGGTCGCTCTCTCCACACCTCAGAGATGGGGGCTGTGCCCCACAGGAGCGCTGCAAGGCTTCAGCTGCCCTCGTCCATTAGGAAGAAGGAATGATAACACTGAGGTGCAAAAACATAACTTGCTCATGAGCCCTAGAAAGTTTTTACGTATTAGATTCCTGGCTTTTCGGAGTCTTTTCCCTCTTCATGCTACCGTACTGGATGGTAGAAATGGTTATGCTCTGGGCAGCTAGCTGGAAGGTTGGCAGTTCAAACCCACCCAGAAGGATCTTGGGAGAAAAGTCTGGTCATCTACATCTGAAAGGCCTTTGAAAACTTCACAGAGCACTGTCTGTTCTGCTTTGTGTGTATGAGGATTCCAATTCCACAAACTAGAATCTATTCATCAGCAAATGGTTTGGGATCTTGTTTACTTATTTTAAATTGACTATGTGTCAATATTTAACTTAATTTAATATTTAACTGCGTGGATCACAACAAATTGTGGCTAACTTTGAGAAGAATGGGACTCCCAGAACACTGACTGTGTTCATACGAAACCTGTACTTGGACAAGGAAACAGTTCTTGGAACTGAACAAGGAAACACTGCATCGCTCAAAGTCAGGAAAGGAGTACATCAGGGATGCTTCCTGTCTCCATACCTTGTCAATCTATATGTGGAACAGATCATTTGGGAGGCTGGACTTTATGAGGAAAAATGTGGCATCAAGATTAAAGGAAGATTTATCAACAACCTGTGTTATGCAGATGACACAACCCTGCTTGCTGAAACTGAGGAGGACCTGAAACATTTGCTGCAGAAGGTCAAGGACTGTTGTCTTCAATATGAATTGAAACTCAACATCAAGAAAACAAAGATTCTCACCACTTGGCCAGCTGGCAGCACCATGACAGACGGAGAAGAGACTGAGGTTGTTAACAGTTACAGTTTGCTCAGCTCCACAAACAACACTCTTGGCACCAGTAGTCAGAAAATCAAAAGACAAAAGGCACTGGAGAAATCTGCTGTCAGAGTCCACTCCAAAATGCTAAGTAGCAATGATGCCAGTCTGGAAACAAAGATGTGCCTGATTCAGGCCATGGTCTTTTAAGTTACTTGCTATGCATCAGATAGTCGCACAATGACTAAGGATGATAGAAGAAGAATTGATGTCTTTGAGTTGTGGTGCTGGAGAAGAGTATCAAATATACGTTGGACTGCCAAGAGAACAAACAGGTCTGTCTTGGAGAGGGTGAAATCAAATTTCTCCTTTGAGACAAGGATTTTGAAGCTCTGTCTCACATATTTTGGGCATATGGCCAGGAGAGACCTATCTTTGGAGAAGGACATCATGCTTGAAAAGGGACAGAGCGGGAGAGGAAGAGCCTGAATGAGATAGATTGATACAGCAACTAGGGTAACAGGTGTAAGTGTGTCAGAGACAGTGAGACTGACTCAGGAAAGGGCAGGCTTCAGAGCCTATACACAGATAGGGTCACTACGAGTCGTGGGTGACTCGATGGCACATAACAACAATAACACAATTGCTAAAGGAAGAACAAAGATAAATAAACTGAGGTTTAAATTGAAGTTCAAAACTTTTATAATTGGATGGCTTCCTGTTCTTGGAAAAGTTACTCCTATTTTCACAGAGTTTATAAAATCAATATGCTTAAGTATGGCGGTGATCATGAGGATAGCACAGAATAGGGCAAAGTTTTACCTTGTTGTTCTGGATGGTTGTGGTTGTTAAGTAGGTGACTCATAGCGATCCCATGAACGAAAGACCTGAACACTTGTATAACTTTCATCATTTCTCCATGTTCATAGAGTTTCCAGAGACACGCTATTTCAGAAGTGGATGTCACTCCTGCTTCCAAGATTGTTTTAATCGGGGAGCTCCACCAAACCCTGTCCACCTTGGGTAACCATTATCACATTTGATACATACATCAGCGTCACAGTGTTCAACATCACAGCAACCAGGAGTTATCTCTGTACAGCACACGGACAGACCAGTGCTATACCACTTAGAAAAAATGTCTGACAAAAAACAATTTAAACCAGGCCTGAGGCCACAGATTAAAATCACCCACCTTAAGCTTGGTAGTTTAACTTTCTGTCCATTTGACCAACAGAGCTCTCTCGTTGTAGTTGTTAAGTATAGTTGAGTCATAGATGACTCATAGAGACCCTATGAATGAAAGACCTGAACGCTTGTATAATCTGGATGGTACCTAAGATGATTAACAACGTATGTCTGAGAATTGTCATTGAAAGTCACAGACTCAGAAAAGAGAAATGGCAGGAAAGGCCACGGACGCCATAGTAGCCAACATTTTTTTGTTCACAGATGGTGAGATCAGCAAGTGCTTCACATCTGGCTTCTGGGAGAACCAGTGCTCGAACCCAGATCTTCCAGTGTTAGGTCTCGTTCCTCTGAGCTAAGTGCCATACAGGGAACAGCACCTTCTTACAGGACACAAATCATGAGCTCATCTTTGATATCTTTTGATTCCACAGTTCCTCCCAGAGATGGAATTATGACTCCTCCCCACTGAGGACTCTGACCACGCACAGCCCTTCCATAACAGTAGCACCTCAATAACTGAGGTAGCACTTCCCTAACTGAGCCCTAAGCAGATAGTCTGAGGGGTAAAGGATGCAAAAAGTAACAGAAGACCGTGTCCTGGTGACCTGGTTATCAATGAGCTGTGCTGCTAATCCAAAGAGCTGCCTCTCTGGGGGTTCAAATCCACAAAGACAGCTGGTCTCCTCCTGTGTGATTTCCTACCTTGGAAATCCAGTGGAAGGTCAACTATGGCTCTTCAGTGACAGTGAGAGAAAGAAAAAGGGAGTTCCTGCTATTGGAGAGTTAACTACTTGGCTGACATCACAAGCAACGATGAGAAGTTAAATGATAACTCAAGATATTATTGTGTAGAAGTTGAAGTGCTGCTTTGGGAAAAACCTAGGTACACACTCCTCCTTCTTTATGTTTACGTTGAGTGGCACTGAGTAAAAGCCCCTCAATGTCTTTGAACCTCAGTTTATTTCCCTTTTGCATTTGGATATGAATAGTATCTAACTTTTCCGTCATCTTTGGGAATCAAAATAAGCACAGATGTTTAGGAGATATAATATAGAGCCCTGTACACAGACGGCAGACAACACGGCAATCGCCGCGATTCTTTTGCTTTGATGGTAGTTACTGCTGCCACTGCTCCATACTGAGAACCGATCCTGAAAGTTTGAAATGTCAATCTACAGAGTGTGACTTCAGGAAGAAATCATGAAAGGCTTGGAGAAGAACAAATAAATGGATCCGGGCTACCAGGGTGATTAATAAGAAGGTGGTCCTAACAGCATGAGCCAGACTTGAGGGAGTAAAGGAAGGTGCTGAGAAAGTGTATGGAACGGACGCAATCACATCATAATTGATACACCAGTTGGGGGCGGGCAGGGCAGAGAGAATGGACAAATACGTAACAAAAAGAAGCACAAGAAGAGCTTGAAGGATGCTGAGAGATCTGTGAGGGCTGGGAGCATCTTAGCTAGCTTTGAGACTGAGTCTTTTAGAGAGGGAGGTATTGACAGATGCATCAAGAAGGTCAATATAGCAGGGAGGAAAGATTGGGAATTCAACCAGGGATATGCTTAGTGCTAATAGAACAAAGATTCAATTGGATTATAGGCTTCATTAGGCCAAGTGTGAAAGCCCCTTCTTATTCTTTTTTAGAATGCCACAGTAAGGAAGGAACTTTTTTCTTTTTAATTTTTTTATTTTATTTTATTATTTTTGTGTGAGTGTACCATCAAATCAGATCTGACTGGTACAGGAGGAGACTGCCCCTCCTTTCCCCGGCACAGCATCTGGTGGATTCGATCATTGCGCCTCTGGGATTGTAGTTGCAGCTCCTTACCACTAGACCACCAGAGCTCCCCTAGGAAGGAACTTTCTAATAGGGTGCAGTAAGTGGTACATATAAATGGTTGTACTTCCAGAGGTACCAGTCCACCAGCAGTGCTATAGGGGGGAAAAATGATGGGCAATCTCCTCTCATCGTAATTTACAGATTCAGAAAACCGAAGAAGAGTCACTGTGAGTTGGTGCCAATTGGATGGTAGCGAGTTATTTTGTTTCAACATTTGTCTAATTATAACAACTATAAACTCAACAGAATATTTTGCATAAAAAATGAATGAATCAAAGAAGAGAAACAACTGGAAATGTGTAGCAGGGAGTAAAAGAAATAAAGACATGGAATCAGGGAAAGAGATCAGGCTGGAGGCAGAGAGCCTAACGCCCCAACTCAATTTACTCATGTGAAAGCTCTGAGGGAATATCTCTATAAAGAGAGAAGGCCGAGACACAGGGAGCCCCACTGCCTAGGCAGACCAAAGACCAATGAAAACACCTGGCGTGGTACTGTCTGCACTTAAATGCTAACCTAGCATTATCCAGTTTGAACTCATCCAAGTGGCATGGCAGAAAAAAGGCCTGGCAATCCACCTCCACAAAGACCGCAGCCAAGTAAACTCAATGGATTAGTTCTTGGTTGCCATGGCTTGATAGGAACAGGCTTGGTATTTTCCATTTGAAGCATGAAAAGGTTACTTAGCACAGCAGGAGAATTCAAGAAGGCAATGATAAACAAGTGTTAGATCCCTCAGGCTAAAGAAAGAGCTCCACACCCATCCCAGCAGCCGGCAAAACCTGAAGATCTTGTCTGTGTCAAAGGACCCACAGACCCTTCTAGGTGGAGAGTAGCAACCAGGAAAGGAAGCAGCGAGTTTCAGAATGAAATTCTGAATGAAAAGCGCTCAATGTTCTTCTGTATTTTGTTTGACAAATCTAAGAACAGACAACTGAGTGGGTAAAGGGTTTGGTCCAAGGACAGTATTGAGGCTTCTTGGATAATTATAGACTGGGAAATTGCTTAGCTGCACAGAAAAGCTCCCACTGAAATGCTGACCCACTTAACCAGTTGCAGATGTAGATCCTTGGAGCAAAGCAGTACAGAGGATGTGAGTGGTGGTTCTATATATATGTTGACATCATCACTCTTCCAAAAAGTTGCTAGTGTATCTTAATGCTTTGGGCCAAGGCTGCCTCATTTAAAATTCACATTGGGAACATTTCTGGAGTCGTTGAAAAGTGCTAAAATGGTACTTAGTCATTATATAACCCATTTTTTTTTCTGTACAAAGAGAACATAAATACTCAATATCCTACCAGCAAATCTTGTCAACAGCTGCTGCTTGGTTAGAGTAAAAAAGCTCAAAGTGGACTCAAGACATCTGGGGTATAATCCAGGCTACCACACTGACAGGTGGTGCGGCTGTGAGGAAGTCACTTCTCCCCCTAAGCCCCAGTATATCCATCTAGATACAATTCTAGAACACGCATAGCTTACAAGGATGACTGCGAAGACAAACGTAATAACTTATTACAAAAAAATAGTCCGGGACTGAGACAGTGGATGGAAATTCTCTCCCAGAAAAGACAATGTCCAAGGATGAAATGCCATCAGAATAACTCCAACACATGGGCCAGCTTTCCAAAGTCACCACTTGTTTGGCATAAAGGAAATATGCCATAGTAGGTGGTAATTTCTTTGGATTCTCAGATATCTTTACTTGCTTATAAGTATAGAGGATTAGACCAGGAAATACCGATGCGTGCTCAGAGAAGCTTTATTTAATAAATGCAGAAATAACAAATCATCACCTTAAGCATGCTTCCAAGTTTTTACACTCCAACAGGGTCAACTTGAACTTCTAAGCAGAATCTGGAGTTAGTGTATTCATGGAACTTTGATGAGGCATCTAGTATTCCGCTGTTAACTAAAAGTTTGTTGATCGAAACTCCCCCGCTGGTTACGCTGGAGTAAAGGGCTGGAAATCTGCTCTCGCAAAGACGTCAGCCTATACAACCCCAGCGTATAACTCTCTTCTATCCCATGGGGTGGCTGTGCATTGAAATTAACGCAAAAGGAGCAACCACAGCAATAAACATTTGAGTACTCTATTATAACAGGATAGAGTGGTGAGCTACAGGAGAGGACAACAATAATTTTCTAGAAAGAGCTAGACAGAAAATAGTAAATATTTCAGGCTAGTTAGTCCACAGGATCTCTGCTACAAGTCCACCCTTTCTGTTCTTGTAGCAACAACACAGCCATACACAGTATGTAACAAATGGATGTTGCTGTGTTCCAAATAAATCTTTATTTACAAAAGCAAGTGGCGAGAGAAAAAAATTAAGAACTCCTAGTTCTTGAAAATTTAGTACAATGCTGCAGTGATCATTATTGTATGGGAATGGCATATGGACAGACAACTAGATCCATGGAGAAGAGCACGTGATGAAACTTCTGCATCTATGGTCAGTTGATTTTAAACAAGTGTGCCAAGCCCCTGGGGAAAGAACAGCCTTTCCAACAAATGATTCATGTCAGCATGCAAAAGCTTCTACTTGGATCTCTCCCTCACACCATCTACAAAAAAATGAACTCAAAACTAATCAAAGAGAGACCTAGCTGTAAAAACCAACATCAAAAATTAGTCACCAGAGATGTACAAATGGTCAATAAAGAAATCAACACATACAATGACAGTCAATGTCATTAGAAACTATGGGGATGCAAATAAAAACGACAGTACTATTTTGGTTGCTGTTTAAATATGATGAAATAGCTGCATTTTGAGCCTAATCACTGTGGCTGCTGGAATGAAAATGAAACAGCTAGCGCAAGACTGGAGGCAGGAAGACCTTGAGGAAGCAGCTGAGGGAATCCAGGCAAGAAAGGAATTAAGGAGGGGATCGTGGACAAATAAATGCATGCTAGAATCTCCCGCAAATACTCCACTTGTTCAGCTGACACCAGAAGTTTGCGGCCAGTTAGAAGCATCCCAGACAAAAAGGACTGGCAATCGACTTCTGAAAGATCACATTTCTTTCCGGGAAACAACACAGGAGCCCACCAGAATTTGAGACTGATATGACAGAAACTAGTAGGATTCAGTTCAGGACCGTCTCAGACAATGGCAGCATAGACTTCCTTCTCATTTCCCCTTCATCTCCCCCCTCAGCTATACAGCTAATTAACCCAAATTGAGGGGTGGGGTTAAGGTTCTCACCACTTGCCAAGTTGGCCTTATTAAGTCACAAAGACAACCTGCTGAAAGCCAGCACCTGTGTCAGACAGAGAAGGCAAACTCAAGGATTTCTCCCTTTACAGGAGCAGTAGAATAGTCCTAAGACTGCAGCCTGATGATGTCGGAAAACTTGCAAGACCTGGAAACACAAGGCAGTTTTGTCAAGCTGCTACCCTCACAGATTTATGGTATATTATCCTCAATAGTAAAGCTAGACCCTCCTCATTTGATTTGCCTTCTGGGTACCTAGCATTTCATTATCTCTTCTAGAGCTTCAGGAGCAGTAAGATGGACAGACCGGCTTTCCTAGCTGATGAGCGCATCAGCTCTGTCACTACGGGAGTCACTAACTTACAGACCCCCTCCAAATGGAAGGAATAATAATTCTGATATCAATAAGGCTGACAACACAGATTAAATGAAATGGCTGAAATACCTAGTAGAGCAGTTGAAGCACAGGAAAGCATTCAAGACCCTACAATTACTATATTTTTCCACAATCATTATTTATTCTTCTCCACGGTTGCCTTGAGTCAGAAGGTCCAGCCAAAGCTTATTAGATTCCTTAGTATCCTTTTGGGAATTGGCTCCAAACAGCAATTATGGAGCTTGAAAACCTATCTGACGTGTTTCCAGCAGAAGTGAATCAGAACTCATTCTAAATCTCAATTCCATCTGTTTCCGGTTAAACATGGATAAACTTGAACCCTTTCTGTTATAGAAAGCTATGGTTTCTGTGGGGTTTTCCCCCCAAGAACTCTTACCCTTAAAATTCCCCTTCAAGTTTCACAGAATCTGACTGTACCTTATTGGGCTGTTGGCAGCATCCGGGTCTTTGGCATGAACTCTTCCAACCACGGTGCCAGCAGCTGCATTCTCTTGAACTTCGTGGATGTAACTTGGGGCCAAGAACATGGGAGGCTCGTCAGCATCTTCTACTGCGATCTTAACCGTGACAGTGTCCTTGAAGGGCCCATTGCTGATGAACTTGGGGTCGATGTGCACATTGGCGGCCTCTACCTTCAAGCTGTAAGCTCTTTTGGTTTCAAAATCTACAGGCTGGTGAGAGTGAAAGAAAGATTGAAAATTGAGTCTTTGAAAACATACTGAAAAAGATCTTTATCTGATTGTTTTATAGAGCACAGTGAAGAGTTCTTCAAAGAGGGACAACTGGTGTCCCTTCAATTTCCAGTCCCCTGAACCATTTGGACATAAAACCAAACAAATCAAGTGCTGAAGTTGGAAATGAAGTGGGTAATTCTAGAAACATGACAGACATAGACTCGGGTGGCCTAGTGGCAAGAAGCTGCACTGCAATCTCAAAGGCACAGGATTCTAACCCACCAGCTGCTCTGGTGAAGTGTGTAGGGTGCACTGTTAACCAAAGGGATGTGTATCTACAGCAGTTCAAGTTCACAGCTGCTCTGAGGGAGTAAAGACGGGCAGTCTCCTGCTGCCATTTCAGCCTCAGAAACCTGCCCGAGGGTCACAGTGCGCGAGAATCAACTCTGCGGTGTGTTTGAGTTTTGTAATCTGGTTTCATCACACTGACCACTTCATCTACTAAGTTTCCGATATTGTCGTATGTCCCCAAACAACAAGACACCTGTGAACTGTGGGTCATAACAGGTGTCAAAGTGGTTCCTGGGGAATTCCTTGTTAAATAACACTCACCTACTAATAAAGCAGAATTATTCCTTCTCCAAGTGCCTTTTCAAGTCAATCCTGAACACCTCTAAGAGAGCATCTTATTATAGTTCTGATTTTTCTTTTCTTTTTTTAATAGTGTTAATCTTTTATCCTATCTTTTATACTTACTATTCTTTTTGAAAAACAATGACAGAACTCTGGTTAGGACGTTGTTGTCATTATGTGCCATCGAGTTGCTTACGACTCATAGCGACCCTATGTACAAACTCTGCTCTGTCCTGTGCCAATCACAATGTCTCCGACACTCCCATCCCGATTACCCCAGTCACTGAATCAATCCGCCTCATAGAGGGCCTTCCCCTCCTGTGCTGTCCCTCCACCCTCCCAAGCATGATGTCCCTCTCCAAAGACTGGTCCCTTCTTACAACATGTCCAAAGTATGTCAGACGAAGCCTCAGAATCCTTGCCTCCAAGGAGCAGCCTGGCTTAAACCTCTCCAGGATTAATCTGTTTGTTTTCTTAGCACTGCAATCAATACCAAATAATTTCGTTGTGCTGGTTAGGATACAACGATATTATTTGGTATCGATTGCATCCATTTTGGTTTACTCTTCCTTTACAGCAAGGGTTAGGACAACGAAGAATAATGTTCCTTTGAAAAATGTGTGTGTTTATACATATATACAAAACAAAGCTCGTTTACAGACAGAAACCAGTATAATCCTTCAAGTTTAGCACAGACGTGCAGGTAAATGACTCCAGTTAAGTTACTGGGAAAAGGATGGTAAATGTTCTTGACTTCAGAACATGAAGGGGCCCCCGAGGGTGGAAAGCAAAACTGTGGCAGAGAAACCAGCCCTCACGCCCAGGAAACAGAATTTTCTAATTAGCACTCTGGATGCAGCCGAACTACCAAATATTTGGAACGAGGGATCTTTTAAGTCGAGCATCTGCCCATCATGCTGTTGCCGTTTTAACTTCCCGGGCAAATACTTGTTTTGAACGGGCATAGAATCAGGAGGCTTAGTCCTGACCTAACCAACAACAAATGATGCAAACATATCAATAAAACCAACCGACCAAGCCACTGCCATCGGTCGGTTCTGACTCCTAATAGCCCTCAGTAGAGCTGCCCTCAGAAGGGTTCCGATGTCCTAAGGCTTGCCACCTCATTGTGCCTTGGAATGGCTGGGGAGTTCAAACAGGAAACCTTTCAGTTGGCAACCAAGCGCTTACTCACTGTGACACCACGGCTCTTTGAGTCCTGACCTACAGAACCCAAGACTAAGGATGATTCACTACAAATGCTTCAATATATTAAAAACTCTTGACACTTTTCCCATCCAACTCGCCAGAGCCAGAAAATGCTCCCCTTTCCCCAAATCAACTCTCTCCCCAGCTGCTTTGTCATTCTGGGACACGGAAGTTTTTGGTTTTTTTTTTGACACGGAAGCTTTTTATCCTTGGCTAGGGTATTGAGCAGAAGAAAGGAATAGGCTAACGCACAAGATTGCTGCAACTTTGCAGAACTCTCTGTAATTATGAAAACAAAACCCCTATAGCATAACAGCTCTGATAGCAGGTACCTCGGAACAGGAACAGGAGAAACAGGCTAATCTCACACACTGTGGAAGCCTGAACATCTTCCAAATTAGGTTTAGGCTTAAGGGCCCAAAGTCAAGTTCTCATTGGTCCTGACATGAGTATAGTCATGATTCTTCTGATTGGTAAGAATCCAGGTTCCACATCTCACTTGGTAAAGACCTACAAATGGTTATCTCTCTGAAATGACCTTTCCCAGCTTGGGAAGATGCTACAAAACCATCTGGAGGTCAGCTCAAGCCATACTACCTTCTGAAGCCCTTCTGAACTTGGCCAGACACTAGTCTGTGATGGCTTAATTAAGGGCCCTTCTCCAGCCCCTCATCTCGTTCCTCTGCTAGGCTGGGGACACCCCAAGGAACACTGCTGAATCTCATTGAATGTTGCCTCCCTAGTGTCGGGGCCAGGAATCCCTGAGTAAAGCAAAATTTTAAGTTTTTGAATACTCTCCAAAAGAAGTTTCCAGTTCAAACCCATCCTGAGGCATCCCCAGTGACAGGACTGAAGATCTGCTTCTGGAAGTTCACAGCCTAGAAAAGTCGATGGACCAGTTCTTCTCTGGACACATGTAGACTGTCATTAATTGGATCAACGTGGAGGTGAGTGAGTAACAGGGGCGGCACTGAGGATCCTGACTGAGTGGAAAGCTCGGCTGACAGATAGATAACAGTTAAGGGTTTCCCTCCACTTTATTCCCTGCGTCCTTCCAAAAAGGATTTGTTGTAGTTTCCCATGTGAGTGCTTATATCCATATTATGAGTAGTTGAAATAAAGCTAAATGAGGCAACACATTGCCTAAACCGTAAGGATCTTAATACCCCCTCCTTCACTAATCCCACCTCTGAAAATTCTCCCTGAGGGGTTATTTCCACAGAAAGCCAAAACAAACAATAATAAAAAAAAATGCATGATGTGTGTGAGATACAATAGAGGGTTATTTTTAATTGGAGGAAATGTATACACAAGATGCGAAATCCAACTGTGAGACTTTATTAAAGGAAATAATGGTTCATCAAGAGGACAGGACGTTATGGAGTCATTAAAAATTATTATCTCCATGTTATGTAACAGCATGTAGAGTGTTGATGCTGGAACACTCAGTTAACAAATCAGATGGTAATCAGATCTGCTTGGAGATGTTCCATGGCCACATCTGTACACATGCGGACAGAGACCATAAGAAAAGGAGCAGACACAGAAATGGTTTTATTAGAGCAAAGGACTTGGGGAGATTTATTTTACTATGTCCTCCAATGAGCTATCACACTGCTTTCCAGTTTATTTGGTTAAAAAGGAAATGTTTAGAGGGTTGGCCACTAGAGTGATTTCTCTGGAATAGACGGGTATCCTATGTAGTGACAAGCGTTAGAGGGAGTGGATCGGATTTTCCTCTCCAGGTCTACCACATCCCTGAACGTCATATGTATTTGTTTATTTTCTTTTACAATGGCTCCTATTCAACCAAACACATAAAGATTGTCTAAATACACAGAGGGTAGGTTGTCGGCCTTGTCCAGCATCATAGTTCCGGCACTTTGAACACTGACCAAGCAAGTCAGCAAGTAAAAAAATATGGGCATCTCCCTAAAATGTTGAATATACTTCCTAATGTTCTCTTAAATCACAATTCTTCACTACCATGGCCCTCAGTGAGATGGACTGACACAGGAATTGTGACAATGGGTTTAAACAAAGCAACGATGGTGAGACTGGTACAGGGTGGGACAGCGTTTCATTTCCTCCATACGTGGAGTCACTATGAGTCCCGAGCAGCACAAAGGCAGCTAACAACAACAACAAAGCCATCCTGCCTTCTTCTCACCTGCCTTCTTCAGTCCTTCGTGATTCCCATTTGAATCTGAACCACCCAACCGGTTCTCCTGCACCCATCTGATCTCGCTGAGACTGAACATACTGTGGTTTCCTAAATAAGTCTGTTTTTAACAACACCAGTCTTTCCTGCGCTCTTTTATGATTCTGGCTACTTTGTCCTTTCTCTCCGTATTTCCCTGGCAAATCTCTACTCATGAGCAAAAGTGAGCTTAATAGCGGTATCCACTATGATAGGGGTCCATGCTACTTCCTGGCTTCTAACACATAGAGGTCAAATGTGTTATTAAGCAGGAGAACCAATTCTGAGAAAGGCAGCTCTGTTTTAACTCTTTCCACTTAATTGTCCTATTAAAGATCATCCTATGGCCAGGCCTGACTTTTCAACTTCAGATTTCCAGTGTTTCAAAAAGGACCTGCCTAACAAGTCCTCAAGGACCCTTGCGTGAAAAATAAGTGATTTAGGAAATCATTGGAAATATATGAAAGAATATTTTTAAAAGATAAATACTTCTGTGATACACTTTTACATTATGAAATGCCATGTAATGACTTTCACAAGGATCTACCCGTTTCCTCTTTTCAATTTAGCTCTCAATATTTTAGGGGGCACATTCTGAATTCTGTGAGACAATTTTAAGCAAATGTTCTTTTGAAATGAAATACCATCCCAGCCCCACTTTAAACCTAAATGTCGGTGCTTTACAGCAGATTATTCCTTCGCTTGGAAAAAAACACACGGAATTAGGAGGGGGAAATGTGCAAATTAATCATATGCAGAGAGCTCATTTGCAATGTGTGAGTTCTACGGGGTGATTTAAATGTTTCAGGATTTTAGAGACACTGTGTGTGTTTATGCCCTGAATACATTGAAAACAGGTGACAACCTTAGCATAGCCAACTACCCAATTACGCCAGGAGCGAAGGAGGGGAGGCAGGAATTGCTGATGTCAATGCTCATGTGTCAGCGTCAGGCGGGAGGGTTGGTAATATTCATTAAAGAGGTGCACTGACAGCTCCATGCTCCGCACCACTCACAGCTCCTACTCCAGAGAAGACATAGGAAGAGCCACTACCTCGTTCCTTGAGGCTGATATTACTTTGGTTGGCTACACCAAATTGGTCACACCAATTTACTGCCGTTAACATTGACTTTCTTAAGCCTCCAAAGTTAACCCCAATTTCCATAGCCGTCATTTTCTTCCTTCTAACAATGTAACCCTTGCCGGCTCTTTGTTCCAGATACTATCATGTTTCTCCCAAAACACATCATAGATTTGAAATGGTTATGACAGGCTCAGCTTCCGAGAACATATCTCTCTCCACTAAGGTATTCCTTCCAGTATAGCTAGCTGACTGTGGGGAAAGCTGCCTTATTACTATTTCCCTAGGTTCACTTTTTTAGTTAGAGAAAAACCAGCAACAATAACAAGCAAAGGTTTGGCTTAGGTTTACTAGAGTTTCCAGCATCGTGCAGGATCTTGTGGCCAGAGACAGAGAACATTCTGGAGAATGTCTATGAACAGACTCAGCTCTGCAGAGTTAAAGGGAGAACCCCATGCATGCTCAGTAACCAGGATCTACCTTGCCTAACCCCATCCTCAACCCTCTCTCCCATCCCTGGTCTCATCCTTGAGTCTTCAAATTAATCTTTTACGAGTGTTAGAGTCCAATCTTTCCCATCACACCAAGAAGTTTAATATTCATGCTACAGACCCAAGATGGAAATGAATGCTTGATTAAAATCAAGGTAATCCTATTCCATCATCCAATTCAGACTTAATGCTCCACACACTCTGATGATGGAGAGGTGTTGATTTCTCAAGTGGGGAATCAGAGGGGAAAACCATATATGAACATACTGTAACAGTTCCTTCACTTGACAGCCAATTCTAGCTGCCTCTCCTTTGTAACATCACTGCCCCAACTGTTTCCAAAATGCCTTGGTAGAGAAGCAACATACCCAGGGTATGAATGGCATGCCTCCAGGCTGCCATTTCTAGAACTGTGGTAGAGCAAACTATTTAACCCTAAGTCTCAAGCTTTTTTCCATAACCCAATTGAAGTAGTTTTTCATATTAAGATAATAAAATATACTTTATATGATTTATATAAAAAGCAAATTAGAGGATGTCTTTTAGAAACGCAGGCTATGTCCTATCAATATTTAGTAGGGAACGGATGCTAATACTTAATGGTAGTAAAGGTATAGAAAACACAGTATTTGCTAATTTAACATCAATTGCATTAATCATGGAGAACAAACATCCCCAAGATATTTGGTTTCATTTCTGTCACCACAACAGAAGTACAGTGTTCTCTAAACTCTCCTCTCTCTCTCAAACCTCTGATAAGCAGTAAGGAAAACTGGCCTCTGTAAAATGTTAAAACAAGAAGTGCTCTTTCTTTTGTTACAAATTAAATCTAAGAACACACTATTAGTGTATTAGTGCCAGTTTAGCTAGCTGACTGTGGGGAAATCTGCCTTATTACTATTTCCCCAGTTTCAATTTTTAGCTAGAGAAGAAAAAACAAGCAAAAGTTTGACTTATGTTTAAAGGAGTTTCCAGCATTGTGAAGGACCTTGTAGCCCGAGACAGAGAACATTCTGGAGAATCTCTATGAACAGACTCAGCTCAGCAGAGCTAAAGGGAGAACCTCACACATACTCAGTGTTGCTGCCCCATAAAACCAGGCTCATCTTGTTGGCAATCTGTGCTGCAACGCACAGGGATTAAGCAGCGAAGGCATGGTCAACACCTCTGGCCAGCCTCCTCTGCTATAACAGAAGAGGACAAGTCTGTTATCCCCCTCAGAGTTGCATTGCAGAGCGATGTTAAGCCCTTAAGTCTTCATGGCTCCATTTCTCAGCCTTCAGTCCTTGTCTCCTGCAGGACCCCCCTCGGTAGAGCAGACCATGCTGCTGACAGGTCGACTTCCTTACCAGAACTCACCTTTTTCAGTTTCACCACGCCCTCTTGTGTCTCATAGTCTGTCGTGATTTCAAACAATTCCATCCCGTCTCCATCAACAATATTGTATGTGACTAAGCCATTTTCTCCAATGTCTGGGTCTTTCGCCTTCACTCTTCCTACTTCTTCCCCGGGGACAGCTGCTTCTGACACAGACATCTGGTACACGCCTAGGAGAAGAAGAAGACATCTATTTTTAGTTTCCTTTTTATTTGGCAGCTGCAAGGCTTCAGATTTCATTGAATCCCAATAAATTTCTCAAAGGGCTTGAAATTGAACTTTATATTGATTGAAAACATGAAAAGAAATGAATGGATGGGAGGGAGATCCCATACAGCCAGCTTGTCAAAGGAATGTATTGGACAAGAAAATGATGAAACATTAAGGGGTCCAGGGTGAGATGATGGGGTCACCTGCCATGTGTGAGGAAGGAAACCGATGCTCAGACACACTCCCAACAGGAAACAATGGAGACTCATGTGTATTTTCTCATATTCAAAGAGCCAAGACCTCCTGACATGTCTCCAACATGACCCCAGGCTCGAGTCAAGGCTCACAACGGCATGGCCATTGGCAAAACCAAATCGATGGCCACTGAGTCACCAATGACCGTACAGTACAAAGTGGATGTGTCCATATGATTTCCAAGGCTAGAATCTCTATTCCACCGTCACATCTTTCTCTCATAGGGTAGCTGGTGGCTTCAAAGCATCAACCCTGCTGAAAGTGTGCCATCATGGTTCCCATGACACACTCAGGAAATAAGCTTCTCTGCCTCAAAGTCGCTAACAGTTGTGCATTAATTTTAGGGTGAAATGCCAATCATATTCCATTGAACTTAGACATATTGGACCTCTCTAACTTTACACCTTTGACCAATTTACCAAGGCCCACTTTCTGTGCAAAGGTTTCCCAGAGTGTCCTTTTCATCTACCCATCTAATCGCACTGGTGGTGTAGTGATTAAAACATCTAGCTGCTAACCTCAGGGTCCGCTGTTTGAAAATATTACAGCCTTTGAAACCTTATGCACACAAAGATCTAGCTCAAAGTCAGAAAGTCAAAGTCACTACCGTTGAGTCCGAATCAACTCATGGTTTATCCTCCAGAGGGTTTCCTGAGACCGTTTATCACAGAGGAGGAGATGAGACGGCCCAGCTACTTCCCTCAGAGTAGCTTATGGAATGAATTGCCAGAGGCCTGGCGTCTGGGTTAGAAGCACAATTCCCAACCAACAGAGATCAGAGCTCCCTATGTAAATCGATGCTGTTGTGCTGAGGTATCTTCTGGTGGGAACGAACTCACAGCTGACCCTCAAATGCGTTTCCAGGGCCTGTAACTTGCGAGAGAGGAGACCGAGCATATTCCTCTCTGGGAGGAGTTAGTGAATTCAAACCTACCTTTGTGTTGAAGTGCAATTCTTTACCCATTTAGACCTCCCCTGCATATATGTTATTGCTGTGTGCTGTCGAGTTGGAGCAGACTCATAGCAGACCCTCCAGCAGGTGTTCAGAGGCAGTAAACTGCATGGGAGGAGATCGCCCGTCTTCTGCAAAGCTGCTGATGGATTCCAATTGTGAGTCCTTGGGATTGCAGCACAGCCTCTTAGCACTAGGCCACTAGAGCTCCCTTGTCTTTGCGTGTGCGTGTGTGTGTGTGTGTGCTGAGCTCTGGTGCTCTAGTGGGTTATGCTGCTAACACAAAGGCACATGGGTCAAAACCCCAACTGCTTCTTGGTAGAAAGATGGGCAACCCAAAGGTGGTGTCTTTCTGGTATTTTGAATCCAATAAAGCTCTTCCCACTCAGTTTACAGCCTCTGAAAACCCACGGTGAGGTTCAGCTATGAGTTGGATCCAACTCGAGAGCTCAAAACAACAAAAACACAGTCACTGTAACACTTTAACAATGTGTAATCACCCTACCAACCTTTCCAAACCATGACTGCTTTTAATTCCTGTAGTACACATTCTAATAGTGTGTGTATATATATGTATATATATAATAGTATACATTTCGTAGAAGTATCATTAATGTCTTAGATCGTAATAATGGAGCATATTTATTAACAATTTAGATCAAGTGTCATTGTGAGATGAGACCCGGTATCATTTGGTTCCTAGAAAACCACTGTTAATTAGGAACTGTGGCAGGTTGCACTTTTCAAACTGCCCACAGAAATATTCCCCATCCATTAGGCTCCCCTCCCCACCCCAGTGATTGATGCCCTTCAGATCCAAAGCTCATCCAATTCCACCACTTGAATTAAAGCATGCCATGATGCCGGCACAAATGATACCCTGTATCTTCCAAAGTTGGGGAGAGGGGCACAGAAGGCAGTAAAGTTTCTGTCTGGTGTCTTAGGCAATCTCACTTTCAAAGCTTAGGCATCATGGCATAAGAACGTCCACTTGCTCACGGAGAAGCTCACTTGGATAGGAGCTAAGGTCCACCACCAACCTGCTAACCGTGTCGGTGAGTGATACTGAAGGTGGCCATTCTGCTCTCGCAGAGCTGCTCACTGTTGATGCTTTGAGGTCAGAAATCAACTGGTCTCACCAAGACATAATCAAATTACAGATTCAAGAGGGAAAAAAAATTACTATTCTAGTCTCTAGCCACGTAGAGTTTGGGGCAGTTTATGACACAGCAATGATAATTGATTCAGACACTGTCATTTTCTTGATGTTAAAACTGAGACACAAAAAGGCTACTTAATGGCATCCCCAGGGCATCTAGGGTGCAAAGTAACTAAAGCTCTCTGTTGCTACCTGAAAAGTCATGGTTCAGACCTACCAGCTGCGATGCGAGAGAAAGGTGTGGCAGTCTGTGTCTATAAATATTTGCAGTCTTAAGAACCCTCTGGGACAGTTTTACTTCATTTTGCAGGGTCACTGTGAGTTATAAGTCAATCAAGTAGGTGGTTTTGAATGGTAATTCTAATACCCCTTAAAGTAACAACAAGACAGAGCTTCCATTTTCAACATTGCAATTATTAATACTTCGCTTCCTCTTCCAACTACTTCTACTCCATCTGAGTTTTGTCATTGTTGACTGGTTTTCATAAAATGATACAGGGCACCTCCACTGGGGGCAGAGAAGACAGACAGCACAATGGCAGGGCAAGGGGGCGGGCGGAGGTGTGTCCCCATTACAAAGTGAAAGGCAAGGCCACCTACTTACTCTGCGGAAACTTTGGTGGGTTGTCGTTGACATCGGTCAGTGTGATCGTCACTTTGGTTGTCCCTGAGAGTCCGCCCATGTGCCCGCCCATGTCCTTGGCCTGAATCACCACGTGGTACTCCTCTTTGGCTTCCCTGTCCATGTTGGGAAGGGCTGTTCTGATGATACCTGCACAGGGGGCAAGGAACGTGAGGACATCACGGAGCCTTCCTGAGATCCACCGATACTCAGTCACAACATCAAACAAGAATCAATAATGAAGAAACAGAGAGCTCTCAGCACTGGCAAGGCACGGGTGAATGAATAGCCCCTCTTCTGACAGGGCGGCACCAGGACGGAACGTGACAGCTGCTGAGGGAAAAGGTGGACGTTCATATCCACTTGGAAGTGAGTCAGAGAAAGTTCTGGAAACCTGCTTACAAAGACACGAGCAATGAAAACCCTAGGCAGCGGTGCTGTAGAGTCAGAACTGACTTGATGGTGACTGCTCTCTTTTCAGTTACGCTCTTACAGAAGAGTTACTTCTAGCTATGACCAACTGCAGGATGCTAATCATCTTGGGACGTAAATCTTAATAATAACGATTAATATAACCCCCCAAGTTTCATTTGTTTTTATATGGTTCGTTGCATGTACAGGTAATTACTTCATTAGGCTCAAATATAACAATGAATGACCCTAAAGTGTAAGAAAAGCATGAGTGGGTATGCATAACTCCACACTGCATGCTTTTTGCACATTCCACTTCCTACTTTTTTGCACAACTACACTGCACATTTTTTTGCGTAACTCCATGCACACTTTAAGACTGCCAGCAGAGTCTTTGCATTGTCTCTCTCCATGCTCTTCTTAGAAACATTTCTAGGACTCCAATTAAATTACAGTCTGGAGGTGTGTATTTAATGTAATACATTGCAATTTTAGTATTAATTTTTAAAATAATAAGCCAAATAGGTTAAAAATATGCATGATGCTTCGAAAAAGCATTGGCTGCCGTCATCTGTTTTTACTGACATTAAGAATAAATGAATGCCTGATTTCTACATGATTATGGAATCCTGGTTGGATTCCTGGAACAGATAAGCTTTTTTTTCTTTGTAAATACAGTAGCATTTATACTAGAAATAGAAAAAGACTCTTGCAGAAGCTTTTAAGTCCTTACCCCCTTCTCGCTGCTCGATGTTTGTATGATTCTAAGCAATGCCCTTGAACTCACACTGGGCCTTATTTTCCTTATCTGTTAAAAAAGAGTTTGCTCGGCTCACACCAGTGATTCAGAACTCTGAGACACATAAATCTCTGAGACAAAGAGGCTGGCAAATGGAATCCTCAAGCAATTTGTAACATCTTAAAAGTTGAGAAGTAATTAAACATGTACCCTGGGAAACTTGAAAAAAGTAAAGAGCAAATGACTTTGATGAAATCGTACCAAGTAGTCCCATAAATAGTTTCTTATTTTTTACTAGTTTGTTGTTTTTGAGAACATACACAGAAGAGTCTTTATCTGCGCTATCTCACTTCAGTTCGATAACATTGATTATATGAAGACATTCTTTAAATGTTGTAACCATTCTTATCCTCTTTATTCAAATCTCTCTTTGCACATTTAATATAAACTCTCTGTCCCATTAGCCTCCTGTCTAAGCTGCTGTTGTTATCTTGATGCCATATATATAAAATACATAGATCTCAAGGCAGATGTATTTACCACGTAAGCTAAAATACGCTACCAAGCCGAAGGTGGGTGATTTTAATCTGCGGCCCTCAGGCCGGGTTCAAATTGTTTTCCTGTCAGACATTCTTCTAGGTGGTATTGTGCTGGTCTGTGTGTTGCTGTACAGAGGTAACTCGTGGTTGCTGTGATGCTGAACACTGGGACACTGATGTGCCAAATGTGGTAATGGTCACCCATGGTGGACAGTGTTGGCTGGAGCTTTCCAACTAAAACAAGCCTAGAAGCAGGAGCGGCACCCACTTCCAAAATGGCTTGCCTCCGGAAACTCTATGTATGAACAGTGCTCAGGCCTTTTGTTCACAGGGTTGCTATGAGTCGTCTACGACTTGACAGCACCTAACAACAACAACAACAAGCTAAAATACTGTTTGGCTTAAAGAAGGATGAAATTAAAGGAGATAGTTTATGATGCTCATCTTGCCTCAATAACTCCAAATACTCTCGAGTCTCTTGAGATTTTGAAATTCTGTTCTGCAATTCCCCCCTTTTTGATCATGATTCTTCTACAGAATCTTTGATCAAAATGTTCAGTCATGGTGGTCAGGCAACATCCTGTTCTGGTCTCATTGGCAAAGGAGGGCAGTTGCTCAGAGGCGAGTAGCTACAGATTCTGTTTCCTCCACTCAGTGAAGTCCTCTCTCCTCTTCTCTGATGCTCTGCTCATAAATTATGCTTTGAAATGTGGCTACAAATAAATTAATATATATGTAAATGAATACTGCATCAACTAAAGTAAATGAGCGAAATACCCTAATGGCAGTCTGCATGTGTGTATGTGTTTGATAATGTTGCACTGTAAAAAGAAATGTAAATTACTTCTAAACATCTTCCCCAAATACTGTGTCCAAAACCAAAACAAGAACACAGTGTTAGGATGGCACGCTCGACTAGCAAGTTTCATAGGCTCTTGGGACGCAGGGTTTCTGTAAAAGAATTCTACGGTGAGATTTGGAACAAATTAAGTTCAATCATTTCGGGGTTTGGTGTTGCATTTGCCTGGGCTTTTGTGTCTGCATTTGAGTTTTGAAAGAAATCTTTCTGGAGACTAATGTCCACTGGGGAATATGAAGAAGGCATGTGAAGAAGGAATATGCTGCTTCATAAACAGTCAACACCCCAGCTCAGCACACTGGTCTCAAAAGCATGCTTTCAGAGCCACCTGCTTTCCAGAAGACCCCAAATTCTATAGTCTCTTAATTTTAATCCACAGATAAATCTCTCCTGACATAACAACTGAATTTTAGGATTCTATGTCTTATTGTGACAGGACGAGCTTCTGGATGAATATGGTTTATCGAATGCCATCTCTATGCCACGCACATGCACAGCACCAAATCCTCAGAACAATCCTGTAAATTGTATCTTATCATGTCCTCTTTTAGAGTGGAGAAAATTGAAACTCAAATAGGTTGTGGGAACAGTTCACACTCCTGATTACAATGTGGCTTAAATCACAGTGGCATTTCAGGGTACCTGTCTGAGCTTCCACTGAGAAGTAGGGCTGTCCTTCCAGGATGCTGTACACCAGCTTGGCGCTGTTTCCATACGTGGGATCATCGGCATCCGAAGCTGTCACCTGGATTACCGACGTTCCTTAAAAGAGAAAGAAATTAATTAGCAAAAGCTTTTCAGCTTCTCGAATTGACACTCTCAAACGAAAATTGGAAAAGATCCCCATAACTATCCAATGTGTTCTCATTTTTCAGGATGAAGGTGCGAAGCAATCTCCTTTCTTTCCTTTTTTAACTTGCATAGTTTAAAAATGGACTTTCTATATTTATAGTCCGCCCTGCTATGCTTGGCGGCTACAATCGTACCATCAACACTACAGCAATAACATTCTAAGAACCATGCGACTGAAATATTCAGTATATCAAATCATTAGATAAAAATCTTCCCCAAGAGTCTAATAAATGATCATTAAGAATGAACTGCTTTGCAGGAAAGGACAGAGTGCGGCCTTCCATCTGTAGCAGAACAATAAAGACATCATTCTATTGTTGCTTTGCATGTAATGAATTGTCGCTAATACTAGACCTTAATTAGTTATTGGTTATAAATATTGTGAAGAACAGTGTTCACTAAAGTCATGGAATCTACATCCTCCCACCTCGAACCAAAAGCACCAGCCAACATCTGGTGAAGTCGAAGATGAGTGCTCCCAGGTTGGTAAAAGAGGAAGGGGAATCAGAAACTGAAGGATGTACCAAATACCTTATCTTCTTGAAAACCTCTCTCGGGGGCATAATGTATTTAGATTCAGAGTTGGGGAGGCAGGAAGGAGCAAATCAGAATTCAAGTTCTCATCTCCTTAACTAAAGGGTTGGAGGTTTGAATTCACCCAGAGGCACTTAAAAAAAAAAAAAAATAATCCCAAGTGTTGGATTTCAAAAGCCCACAGCCAATGGAAACCCTGTGAGCACAGGCCCACTCTAACCCAAGCAGAATCACAAGAGCCTGAATCAACCTTCAGGCAACCAGCTTTCTGTCTGTTCAATTGTGTTGTGTTGGGGTTTTTTTTGTTGTTTTTGTGTTAAGCACATTACTCATTGTATAGTTGTATTCTTTCACCATCCACCTGCAGGGCATGTTTTCACATTCATTGGACTTGTGAGTAACTGGATACAGAGGGATGCCTTTTTTGCAATCTATTTCATAAATTTGGTAGTTGCTGGATTGAAGAGAATAACTCCCATTTAGCAAGCAAGAAAACTCAAGCTCTTTCCACAGCATTATCAGCAGCGGGCCCTCTAGCCAGCTTTTAATATCGAGACTTACCCATTATTTTCATGTGCCCCACAAAATATACTTTACTTATTCTCCTTAGTGTTCGATAATCACCTATTTCTTGTAAGCACCAGTCCTGAGCTCTTCTCACGTATCAGGTGTTAACTGATCACTGGCACTTTATAGAGCTGAATAAGCTCTATGTGATACCATCATGGTACAAGCAGAAAAATTCTTCGCTTTCCACACTTAATTTATTAATCCAACTCTGCTAAGTCCATTTCAACTCGTTGTTTTTACATCTGTTTTACTTAACCCTCACCATCACTTGCATTCTCCACCTTCATGGATAGCAAAAAAACAAAAAAGGTGAGAAAGGTCAAGAAGCTATCTAGGTTCAGGTGGTTGGTCAGAGACACAACCATGACTCAAAGTCATGCTCTCTGATAACAAAGATGATGCTTTCAAAGCCACGAGAAAAAGCCTGGCCTTTAGCCAGCCCTAAGCAATGATAACCCATGAGGACCACGGCAGATCCCTCTGATTAGCTTTTTTGATGACTGGCCTTTGCCCTCCTGGCTCAGGCCTTTCTTGACATCACTGTCCTCCACTTAATGGATGGCCTGATGTCTGCTGCTCATTAGAACCTGCACGTGAATTTAAAGGAGCTACAAGACAGGGCAGGAAATAAAGAAGAGAAGAAGGTGAAAAATGATGAAGTAATTCAGCCTGGCTTTCACACGGTATGAGATGAACTTGGCCTTTTCTGAAGGAGAAGGAAGAGACAGAGGAGATGGTTTTCTGGACTCAGGCTCCATTTACAAAGTGGAAACAAACACTACCAGCGTCGCTTGTGCCTTTCACTCTCCAGCTGGTTAGATACCCTCGGTGCCTGGCTTTCTCCTCTGTGAAGCAGAGGGATTCATTCTGATGATCCCCAAATTCATTTGAACTTTAAATCTCAGACTCATACATCTAGACAAACTCCTTAGTCATGTGAGCCCTATTCACTGTCCTTTGGACATACCATTCTTAATAGACACTACATGATTCTCAGAAGACCACAAATGCATGCATTGCACAAAGCCTAACAGATGGTGGTGCCTGGAGAAGACAGCTGAAGAAATCTTATGGAGAGCTGTCCTTTAGCCCTGCCTTGTGTCTCCATGTGCTGTGAAAAAGCAGGTCTCCCTCTGATCTACATGCACAACAGACAGTGGTGTGGTGTCACACAATCCTAAGAATGTGTTACGATCACGTTCCGAATCTACTTGGCAGCTCTGATGGCGATGGATAGACAGGTTAGCCTGTTTCTGACTTGGATTTGTCATCTGTAAAGCAAGGCATGAAGACCCATCTCACCTCAAAGATTTGTAAAGCTTAAGTGAAATAACGCATATACATCATTAATCAGGATAGTACCCGCAAGCACCGAATACAGTGACTAATACTACTTCTTGAATATCCAGATGCACTAACAACTAGACACGTATTATCTCTAACCCTATGAGACTAGACATTAGCATTTCACTTTGCAAATGAAGACTTGAAGGCTAAGAGAATGGATATTACAGATTGTAAGTCACAAAGCTGATAATAATACGCAAAAGAGCCAGGTTACCCGGATTGAATGACACTCTTCCTACTGTCACATTTGCTCATATTTATAAACTTATATTTTAAAACCCTGAGTTTATTTCTAAAGTGTGATGGTATGTAAATTCTATTTCCCATAAACAGTTAACAGCTCAATTGCCCTCAGAGACACCGGGCCTGGTGGGTGGCCAGATGCCGCCTGTGTACGTACCCACATTGGACCTCTCTGGTACGTTGGCGTGGTAGGTCTCATGCAGGAACTCGGGAGGGTTGTCATTAATGTCCTGGACCTTGACGATGAATTCCGATGGTGGCTCTAGTGGTCGGTTGGTGTCCCTGTCCACCGCCTGAGCCATCAGTGTGTACTGGGCTCGCTCCTCTCTGTCCAATGTCTTGGTGGCATGAATGTTCCCTGATTTGTCATCAATCACGAAAATGGTTCCGGCTCCTTCACCTGAGAGAATGTATTTAATGTTTCCATCACCAGAGTCGATGTCGGAATGAAGCTAGGGAAAGAGAAATGGAGAATTGTAATTCATGGTGAATATATATATATATATATATATACACACTGAGGAGATAGAGGTTCATCCATAATGTTCACTACAATATGCTGTAGGGAGCTCCGATGGCCAAGTGATAAGAAGCTGCACTTCAATCCCAAAGACAAGTGGTTCAAATTCACTAACTGCTCCATAGGAGAAAGATGGGCAGTCTCCTCCCATGTGATTTCCTGCCTCTGAAAACCCACTGGAGGGTTGGCCAGGAGCTGGTTCGGACTTGATGGCATACAACAATAACAATATGCTGCGCACACACACACACACACACACTCACTCTCTCTCTCTGAGAGGGAAACTTCTCACTCTGTTCGAGAACTGAAGACAAGAACCCTCATAGGAGGTAACTGTGTTGACCACGTTTAAACAGCTGGAGAAAGTAGAGTTAGGATTCTAACATTGTGGATAATTCTTGAGCTTATGCTCTTATGCTTATGCCACGAACAAACTCACTCTTTCTATGTGTGTGTGTGAGAACTTTGTTAGCATTCACAGTGACCCTAAGAAGGGTAGATAGAGACCTTCCAGTATCCTATGCTACCCTCACCGTCTCCACCATGCAAATCCACTGTGCTGGACACTGTGACAGTCCATCTCATTGAGGGGTATCCTCTCTTTCACTGCCCCTCTGCTATCCCCAGAATGATTCTCTTTTTCTGGGGACAGATGCCTCCTGATAATACGCTCAAAGTACAAATGCATGCACTCACCACTCTGTCACAATTCAGGGCACAGTGTACACATCACTCATCATCTTTGTTTCTTTCTAAACATTAAACACAGGCGTGTCCTCCAAATCAGCTCATAAAGGGCTACTTCACCCACCATATGGTTGTTGGTACCACTTATGTTAGAAGCCCCCTTCGAAATTACACGCATGTTCCTTCTTAGTTTCTTTTACTATAATTTAATAGTATAAGTTGTTTCAGAAGACCTTTTGGGCAGGAGATAGGGTAGGGGGAGCTGAAGATAAGGCCTGACTGGAAGGGATTTGGACTCTAACCATAAAAGATGGGCTTCATTGACAAGTATGTAACTCTTTAGACCACAGAAAGAACCTTAAATGCCCTAGAATTCTTCGCTTCCACTGGCAAAAACCAGGAACAAGGTGGCACTTGCTTCCATCTATATTCTGCAGAGGTGAGAAAATCACCCAGATGCCTCAACTCTTCTGTCCTGTTCCCTCTCGGTGTTTTGTAGCCGGGAACTCCTCTCCCACCCACGCTGTCCAACCTCAATTTCTGCAACCATCTCATCATCGGACCTTCTTTGCCCTCATTATGTCCCCTGTGGGAAAAATTAAGCATCACCTTCACCATGCACTTGAGCTTCAAGGGGAGACAAAGCTACTAGATCTATCCACGAGACAAGAAAACTCACTGCCAGCTAAAAATCCTTACTCAAATATCATATCCCTATAATAATATTATTATACTCTTACAAAGAGTAATTATATGATATAATAATTACATATAATGACACTATTATTAGTACTCTTAAAACCAAGACCTAGAGAGCTAAAGCGGCTTGTATACAGTCAAAAGCAAGACTGAGCAATGTTTTTTTAAAGAAAATGTAATTTTTTTTTCACATTGCCTCTGTTTCCCAAAAGATGTCTAATTGATTTGTAGAGCATCCATGAAACAATGACTATTTCAACTCAGGGGGATACCTGGGCTTGTCTGTAGGCACAAATTACAAGCCTACTTTGTTTTCGGTCCACAGTGTTTTGCAAGGAAAGAAAAAGAAAGCCTTCAAAACGGATTATTCATAACAAGCTATGAGTTTCCACAAAATGATGGCAGACACATTGTCTATGAGGAGTGTAGGTGGTGAGTAAAACATGAGGCCAGTTGGGGGCCTCCAGTAGATGAAGACAATGGCCCTCAGTCTTCAGACGCTTTTTAGCAGAGGACAGAACCTCTGCTCCTGGTGACCTGAGTGTGTTTGTTTCTCTTCTTTAAAAACAAGCCATGGCCACTGAGTGGTTCCCTACGCAGGCACAGGGCAGCGTGGAACCACACACAGGGTTTCCTGGCTGTAAAGCTTTACCAACTCAGACTAGAGAATCTGCCTCCCAGGGAGTGGCTCGTGGCTGCCAATGCTGATCCTCTGGTTTGAGGCCCAACTGCTTAACCACAGTGCCCCCGGGCTCCTTTCCTCTGCCTTTGATTCGGCAAAAGCTAAGGGCTCATCAGCTTTATGGATAAAAGTGGAGGAAATACATGACATACTTGCCAAGATATGAGTGTCCAGACACCCATGGTTTGCAGGCCTTTCATCTATTATATGTATAAATTTGGCAAGTTGTATGGGAATGAAGCACTTTCCCCCCCTAAAATAGCCAAATGACTGGAAATAATAACAGATATTTGTTGGTCATGATTTTCCTCTATTTTGCTTTCAGATTTAAAAGTTGAACGGTTGTTTGGTGGTTTTGTTGGTTTTTTTTTTTTTTTTTTTTTTTTTTACATTTTCCTCTCTAGCAAAAGGGAGGGGAAAATTTACATAACTCACAACACATATTTACCATAAGGTTACATAAAAAGGGCATCTGGTATAGAGTCAGTCGCTAAACTCCAGAGACTGTCGGACTGTCCCCTAACATCACATTGTGTCACCATGTTTCCTACAGAAGGTGGAAAATCTATCAATTGTCAAATTTCACCTTTTTTTTCAGGGCATCTCAAAGTACCACCAGATCAAAGCAGGGGAGGGGTAGATCATCACAATGGCTCCTCTACTAACTGGGTCTATCTCGACAGGAAACCCAAGGGATCTGACCATCTCTCTTCTCTTTCCTTCCACCTACGTGTGAGCCTATGATTTGAAGTAGCTCACGATGAATGATGCTAGGACTCTTCTTTCAGATTCTCTCAGGGAACTCTACAGCAATGAGTTGTTGTATTTTTGTGTTGTTTGGTTATTTTGTGGTTTTTTGTTGTTGTTGTTGTTGTTGTTGTCTTGTTGTCTGAACCAACTGTCCATTCTTCTCCAGTGGATGAGTATATGGTGGATTCGAACTACACACCTTTGGGATTGCAGGGCACTAGGCCACCAGAGCTCCCTCAGCATTGAGTTTTGAGTATGATTATTTGCCTGTTATTATCTGCAGAGAACCGGCTCTCTTTTCTAAGGCATACCAACACCTATCTCCTTATAGCTCAGATTACTGGCATCTAAAACCCAGCTGCATGTTCATGACAGTCAGTTGTTTTTTGTTTTGTTTTTTGACAGTCAGTTTAAAGCATGTTTTGGACTATCTTTTTAAGCGAATATTTTCAGCACGGGTACTCCCAAGTATTCAGGACCTCAAGTCGCACCCCTGGGCCATTTCGTTATCATCCCTATGTAGAGCAGGTAGACACACCCCCACCATGACTAGCATTCAGCCCTCGCATCAGTATCTGTGGAGCCCTCCTGAAAGCAGCATTAAGTATCAGGGCCCAGGATGCACTGATGGAGCGCACTGTCCCAGATGCATAGAGCCTGGTGGCTAATGAGAAACCTGCTTAAACAACAAAACAACAATTAATTGCCGCTGAGTTGGAAATGACTCAGAGCTGACTCTCCAGTGGGTTTTCATAGGCTGAACACCACCTGGGAAGAAACTGTCTACTCTCCCAAGGCACATCTGGTTGACTTGAACTACGCACCTTTGAACTGGAAGCTCTCTATAATTAGGCCACCAGACATGACATACGTTACCAGATAAGGAAACTGGTAATGTAGGAAATGGAGTCCATTTTTCTGGAAACTTCCCCCCTCCCCCCGAAAAAGGAAACTGTGGGAAAATGAGAACACATGGGCAGGAACAGCCAAACTAGGAGTGGAGAGGATTTGGAGAAGACAGAAATTAATGAAGACTTTTCCCTTTAGTAAACTGTTATTTTTAATTTAGCAAAACAAGTGAAAAAGATTTATTAAGGTAATTCAACAGAGGCATAAAGAGGCCATGCAGAAGAATTCAAGAGAAAAGAGAAGACAAGGGAGATATACTTCTAGAAAGTTAGGGGTGGAACTATTTGGTAAACCATTTGGTTAAATGCATTAAATCGTTCATGGTGAAACAGTAAATAGAAAACAGAAACATTTACAATATGGATAATACTATGAATTGGTGGTGGTGGGGAAAGACCTAAAGAATTTAGAAACTACAGTTTTATGTTTTTCCCTGGGGGGGTTAATATAATGATAAATTTCCCCCCCATTCTAATAAGGAGCCGTGGTGGTGCAGCACAACAGCTATATATTCTCCTGCTAAAGAAAAGGTCAGAGGTTCAAATCCACCAATTGCTCTATAGAAGGATGATAAGACACTCTGCTTCTGTAAAGATTATGGCGTAACAAACCCTGTGAAGAAGTCTGCTAGATTCTACGGGGCCGCTACGAGGCAAAGTTGAGGCCATGACAGTGGGGTTAATGATAGATGATGATGATGATAGATAGATAGATAGATAGATAGATAGATAGATAGATAGATAGAATGGATGGGTGGACTGACGAACGCCTAGACAAATGGATGTGAATACAGAGGAACTTACCCTGCCCACGAGCACTGGGTCAGGCCCGGTGTACTCCTCTATGACGAAGAACTGATTCCAGACCCAGCCCCTCTTGGAGCGCTGCAGGACCTGGCCCTCTTTGCCCTTCTCGTGGTGCCCGTGGAACGAGGGCCGCAGGTGGCTTCTCCGCTCCGTGGTGAAGGCCTGGCTCTGCCACAGCATGCCCAGGCACACCAAGGCGGCTTGTAAACAGTAGTTGTCCCTCATTTTTGGTTACGTGGTAGGCACAGGAGAATGCAGCTGTCACCCCTTCTGCCAAACGTACGGTGGTGGCCTTCACAGACGCGTCACGCAGACCTCTGTCGGAATGCAGTGTCTCCGCTCTCTGAACACATCACGTCAGGGCCACCCACTTCCCTGGTCAGGGCTTCTGGAAGGAGAGAGAGAGACAGAGAGAGAGAGAGAGAGAGAGAGAGAGAGAGATATCACATTAGCTCCATCTCACTTCATTCCAGTTGCATCGGGCAAACATTTACACATCTCCTTGCTGTGAGAGGCAGACATGAGTAGGAAACGGTCTTTGCTCACTCACTTCTTATGTGGTAGGTAAGAGAAAAATATATATACAAACAGAACCCTCATGGATTGCCAGGAGGACAGCAGGTCCCTGCAGTGGTAACCTGGGTCTAGGCATCAAGCTCACCACCTCTGAGAGCTGTGGGTTCTGGGAAGTTAACTGACTTCTCCCAGTGGCTTGCTCATTGCTGGAATGAGACTCATCATCACCCTGAACGTGCATGGAGGTTAGATGGCTATGGTGTGTAAGCAAGTCTCTCTAACTAGTGCTAAATGCTCTGGAGTCATCTGTTACTAATACTATTGCACATCGCATGTTTTATAATGGGGACATACAGGACACTAGTGTAGGAACCTATGGTCCATACTGAGATTAGTAAGAGGACTTCAGGTTGAGAAGGTGAGTAGAGCACTTGACCCAGAAGTAAGCTTCACGGTGACGGGAAGAGAATATGGGACAACCATGCAGAAGAAATAGTATGTATCCCACAGTCCTGCGCTTGCCATCGGCACGTCCAGACAAGTTCAGCATACCCGGCAGGTGTAATTACAGAGCGAAGGAGGCAATGGGTGTGACTAACAAGGAAGGATCAAAGAAGATCCTCAGGGACCAGCGTTCATCGCTAAAACCTTTGTTGGGAAATTAATAGGTCAAGTTTTCAGTGCTAATCAATTATTCAGTGAACAAAATTGCTCTTTGCAGGGTTAGTGCTCCACCCATGAAGTCAAAGATTTATCTTAGGCTGGAGGGCTCAGAAAAGTGACTCTTTAAGGTCTCCCCACCCGGAAACAAACAAAACAGAACACGGTGCTCTGCCCACTGTTCCATCGTGGGTCTTGTTCTTAGTATCCACCATGAGTCAGCCTATACATCGACAGAAGAACGAGCCATCTAGACCTTTCCAGATCCTTTCCAGGTTTCTAGCCTATACCCAGTAGTCACTTCCGTCCTCCCTCCAGAACTCTGGTTATTCTCTGCTGTCCTTGGTTTCTGCTGTAGATACTAGGAGTTCTTCACTAGACTTTGGCTCTCTTGTTGCTCAAAATTGGATTCTCCACTAAGAGCTTCCCTGCCTGACTCTCTTCGCACCCCATATTGTCTTCTAGAGAACCATCCTTTATTCCTAGAGGGTCCTCAGAAACCAACTGGAGCCCAAGTTTCCAAATCCAGACCTCCACACACTAATGTGAGAGGTCTTAGGAAACTGTTGGTTACTGAGGATGATTTGAGAATGTGGCTGATATTTTTCTCTCAGTACTTACAGGTCTTAATGAAAGTTAAGAGCTTACTGAGTATTAGAGTAATGATTACCATTGTCTAGAGGGAGCCAGGTGGCACAAATGGTTAAGCACTAGACTCTTAGTGCAAAGGTTGGCTGTTCAAACTCAACCAGAGGTGCCTTGGAAGGCATTTCTGTTGATGTCCTTCCAAAGGTTTGTTCAAATGATAAGGAATAATTCTACGCTCTGTAGAGATGGATGGTAACCGCGAGTTGAAATCAGGGAGTTCGGTAGCCTCCTGTAGGCAGAGCAGCTCTGGTGACGTAGTGGTAGGGAGCTATCAACTTGAATTCAGTCAGTTTGAAACCACCAATCGCCCCACTGGAGAATGATGGGCCATCTCCTCTCAGGTGATTTACTGCTTCTGAAAACCAGCTGGACGGTCAGCTATGGGTCAGTTCTAACACAACAGCACCTAAAAACAACAAAGTCTTGAAAATAAGATAGTTGATAAAAATCTAAATAGTTTCTGAAGAACGTTTTCCTGACTGACAGATTTGGGCTTTGTCATCTCCAGCTCTTTTGTTGCATTTGCACTCTGGCAAAATAGTATCTGGGAAGATGCAGATGTGTTGTCAATTCCCCCGGTGTCTGTTTCTGCACTTAATATATCATTGTCTTCAGGTTAGTTTCTTTTCAAGGATAACCGGGAGTTTACACTTTTCCTTTTGGGAGCAGACACACACTTTAGGATATATTAAAGGCTGTGAGGAAGAGATACAAAGATTCAAAAGGCTGTGTCATTATATAACAGCTTCGCCCTCAGAACTTGGGCATTTTAATAATACATCAAACGCCGTGTCTTACAAGCTAAAGTGACTTTGAGGAAAGTGCATAGAGAGGTCCCCAAGGAGAGGTTAGGCCCTATTATGAGTGGCATGGAGTAATGGGAAGGTTTCTGGGCCTGTGTCAAGCAGCTGGAGGTGTGGCTGAGAATCTGTCTGCCTTCTCTTAGAACCTCATCATTTCCTCTCAAAGGGTCTGTTCATTCTCTCTAAGGTGAAGCAGGTGGGTGACATTCTCTGCAGGTGACCTCCAGTGTTCGTTCATAGTGGAGTCTGATGAGAGATGCTGACCTTCTCTCCTGGTTCATACACTGTCCTCTCCCTCCTCTAATAGAAATATCTTTTGGGAAAAGAGTCATAGAGGATATGCATGGAAAGACAGACACCACGTAAAAAAATCGCTAAACATACAAGTGGAAGCAGGAGTGGCATCCACTTCCTGAGTAACATGCCCCCGGAAACTCTATGAACTTTGATAAATGTCAATAGTTGTGGAGGGGCTTTAAGCCTTTTGTTTATAGTGTCACTATGAGTTGTACTTGACTCAAAGACAATCAACTACAACAACAAAAATTTAACAGTGAGTCTCTAGGTGGTACAACCTACATTCTCTCTGACCAGCAGTCAGGAAATTAAAAAGCAAATTACATTAGTAAAGTCTGCTGTCAGAGATCTCTCCAGGGTGCTGGAGAACAATGGTGTCAGTCTAGAGACTAAGGCGCACCTGATCCAGGCCATGGTCTTTGCAATTACTGGATATACATCAGAGAGCTGTGCAATGACTAAGGATGACAGAAGAAGAATCAATGCCTTTGAATTGTGATGCTGGAGAGGAGTACTGAATATACCATGGATTCCCAAGAGAGAAAAAATAAATCTGTCCTGGAGAGGGTGAACTCAGGTTTCTCCTTGGAGGAAGGATCTTAAAGCTGCATTTCCAATACTTTGTACACGTGGTCAGGAGAGACCAGTCCTTGGAGAAGGACATCATCCTTGGAAGGATACGGGGATAGTGCAGGAGAGGAAGACCCTGGATGAGATGTATTGATTGACACAGCAGTGGGGTACTGTGTCAGAGGCACAGAGGTAATGTGAGATTGGCTCAAGCCATGGCAGAATTTAGACGATATTGTGCATAGGGTCACTATGAGTAACAGTTGACTCAATAGCACATAACAGCAACAACAACAATGGGTGGTACAAGTGTTTAACTACCAGTCAAAATTACGGTAGTTCAAATCCACCTAGAGTTATCTCAGCAGACAACGTGTTTCTGATGGTCACAGCTTTGAAAGTTCCAAGGAGCGGCTCTCTGCTGACTCACGCTGGGTCCTCACGAGGGAGTGTTAACTCCATGGCACGGAACAGCAACAATAAACAATTAACTACACTGATTCTTTGTTTCAGACCTTGCAACGACTGTTCTTGCTCTTCAGCACCCTGGAGAGATCCCTGACAGCAGCTGTGTCACTCCTCAATCATTGCACCACCATTCACGTAATTACAATGCCCTCCGAGCGGAAGTCCTATCTTATTCACGGTCCAGTGGTAAATGAATCAAAGATCTGAACCACATCCTTCATCTTCACACTTCATGTTTCCTACAGAGAAACTCAAGACAAGAAGATACGGAAAGGAACAGGCATATGGTGCAGCAAGATCTCTGCCCATTTTGCACCATGCCAAGTATTAAGTGTTCATTCACACAGTGCTAAATTATTCTTGCATATAAACTGTGAAGTGGATTTGAAAGAAATAGTTTAATTAAAGTTGGTATTTCTGCACCTTTTTCTTCTGGCTGCCATTTTGCTGTAAAGCACAATTATTTCTGACACTAGGAGTGTTGAAACTAGATGACAACTTTCTCCCCCTTTTTAAAAACATTTGAGCTTAATACTAATGAATTTAAGAACTTTCACTTAAACAATATTCCAATAAACAATAAGCTTCCCCCTTATATTAAAAAGAGGAAAATATCTACTTTCATCTACAAAATAAAATAGCAAAACCAATTTGCTCTTTTAATCCAATGGGCCTATGGTTTCTTTAAGTGTTTATGTTTCTATATGTAATATATGAAGTTATTTAATGATACCTTTCAGGTACGTATATGATAGATTTTTAAAAAGTTGGGGTTTTTTTTGTTTATTTCCTTTCAGGGAGAAAATTTGCTGAGTAAATAAATGCTTTCTCTAGACACTGGTCTAAAAATTTTACAAACAGTAGTAACTCAATTATTAATTTGGATAATAACCTGGGGAAAATGTTTTTGTTATTATGTGCTGTTTAATAGGAACCAATTCACAAATGACTTTCCAGTATGTTTCTAGAGGCAGTAAATTTCACAGGAAGACAGTGCTCATCTTTCTCTAGTAAAGTACTTGATGGATTCGACCTGCATGCCTAAGGGTTGGCAGTGTATCTCTTTACCCACCAGGCTACCAGACCTTCATGGAATAGCTATTATAAATATCATTATTTCAAAAAAGAATAAACACAGACACAGATAAACATAAGCAACTTGGATATAGTTATACGGATTAAAAAAGGGAAGGTTTGTGATTTCTTGGCCACTGAAAACCAACCAACTATTGCCACTTACTTGAAATCTATAAGCAAGTGACATGAACACTGTCACAAAAATGGTAACCAAGAAACTACCCATGCTGGAGCCACCGCAAAGTGTGAAGTGAATCTAGATCACAACTTCTTGTGTAAAATCTCTATTACTGTGGTGCAAACATTAACAATAACATTGGTCAGC